TCGCAGCTTGCATCAGGACGTGAACAGATATGGTGTCGCGAAAGAAGTCATTTCTCCAAAAAGTTGGTCCGGACCAGGGGGGAATCGAACCACTCCTGTTCATGTCCGGACGCAATGTGTTACCACTACGCCACTGACCCTTGCGCCAGCAGCACATCTACTGTGTATCTGTCTTTCAAAACAGCACACACCTTCCTTTCTCTTTTTCTTTGTGGTGGTTTCCTGGCCAGCTATTCGCGGGTTTTCCGCGGCACATGGCGCTTTGTTCATGGTCAGTGAAGTACCTTTCTTGTTATGGTCTAGGAGTAACATCGTTTGAGACGACCTGATGATGCTTGACACGTACCAGGCACATTTCGCAACCGCTAAAGCCTTACCAAGTGCTCCTTTCTGGGGAAATCGTTGAGATGGTAATTCCTTTACAAAACGAAACGAACGTCTGATCGATAGCAGGTTGGCCACCAGATTTAGCAGTGTCAAAGCAGCCGGGCAGGTTTTCAGCTGCAGCAGTTGGAATTTCAGTTATAACTGAATCAAGTTCCCAAGTACAGCACATCACTGTTTGCAGATTTTGTTTTATTGCCAAATTTAATTGCTGTTATTTTACAGCTGTTTATGTAGCAAAAATTCGACAGCTAGAGGAGAATAAAACGAAGAAAATGAACGAAATCGATTGGTCCAAATATCCAGTTAGCATGGGGGAAACAATCGAACTCTGTGCTGGTATAATTGATAAACCGCAAGTTAGCAGCCGACAGCACATGCAAGAAGAAATCATCGAGGAGTGCGGCTACAGTGTGAAAGAAAGCGATCTGCAGTTTATCAAAAAATTTGTGTAAGCATTTCTGTTGTGGTAATTTGAAGGTCTTGAGCTTACGTCCCTCGAAAAAGGGAGCCCACTGAAGTGACTTGATGACTGGTGTTTGCTTTTGGCACCTGTAAATACTCGAACTACTTCCGAATACCCACTCTTCTCACGGCGCGAATGCGGAGAAGATTTCGACCTTACTTTGTCAGGCAGCACTGCATGGAGCTGGCTGCTTTTGGCAAAAATTTATCACTTGGACCAGTTCGGATTGGTTGTGTCTTTCTTGGTTAATTGAAGAACGGACGGGTTTT